CCCCTTTGTTCACATAGGAGAGGGATTCTTGGTAGATTAACCCTTTGCATTCCAGCTTCTTTTGTGTACAGCCTACCCCCACCCCTACCTCCACCCCCCAATCATTTCTCCCCAGGGCTAAGATTTAACCTTTAGGGTCAATACCTTACGAACTGATCAGCAGTTTCACTTGTTTTGAGGGATTGCCCTCATCCTGTGGTTCACATTTACGGGTAGAACCATGTTTGTTTTACTGTAAAACCCACATTTAACAGCATTTTTTTTTCTTTCTTTCTACCACATATTTAAACTTGGATGGAAATATTTAAGCCTGTTATTGGTATGTGGGTTTCCTGTGGATGCAGAGTCCCCTCCATTGTGTCCGTTTGTAGTTAAGACTACTGAGAATTGAGTCAAGCCGTTCGAGGCTACACTTAAACAGATCTTAAGCTTATGTAGCTAAAAAGAAACTGAGCACAAGCTAAATCGTTGAAAATCTAAGCTGAAAATTAAGCTGCTGAATTGTCTTAATACACTGAAACAGTAGCAGACAAGGAGTATTTTATTTTTCTAAAAGTCAGCACACCTAATGACCAAAACCACAGAAGAATACAATTTATTTTCATTTTTTTTCATACTTCTTCACATTATTGGCATATGAAACCATTTAGCTTTCACTTAAGACTTTGAAATCTGTTCAGTATAAGCTTTTAAATGATTCCTGGAAATGACTGGAGAATAGTTAAAATCATGCGTTTTAATGGGGATTTAAAATATGAGAGGAGTTGGCAAGTGTTTGGAGGAGTACTGACTAGTAGCTGAATCACGTCTTTTAACGGGAAGATGTTATTTTCTTACCTCCTCTTAATAAAAGTTTAGCTTAGAGAGTGAATAACAGTGTTATAAGAGTGAGTTATTGAGCACTGATGCTATTGAACCAGCTGTAAAAACAGCACACACACAGCTGAGTAGCTGATGCTTGGTTTGGACAGAACCACACCAAGAAGTTGATAAAAATGATGAGCAGTACCTGGTGATGTCACCACTCAGGAAGCTCTTGTATTGAGTTCACAGGTGGCCAAAAGTTTATTTAGATGAATGGGAAGATTTATCGTCTCCTTGTGTTTAACAAGGAGAATCCATAGCTGTGGACAGTTCATCCTCATCAAAGGAAGAATTTCAACAATCACGGTCACCAGAACAGCTAGCAGTGTCATCCGACATCATGACGACTGTTTACACTCAGTGGTTGTTGTGAGATACAACAAAAATAAATCAGAATATGTGTTCAAAATGACAAACCCCCTATACCCCCCAGGGTGTAGTTTACATATGAAAATGTTGACAATTGTGAACATCCCGAACATTTAAAAAGAAAAACAATATTCAGTGCAGGGCCACACATAGAACAAAGCAACATATTAAAAAAATTCTGAAAATGTCAAAGTACAGCATTTGCCAACCTTTCATACAAAGGCGACTCTGCTCAGTGAATCTTTGTAGAGCCTATGATGTAACCTACGTGGCCAACGCCATTGCCAGCATTCATGCTTTTGCGCAGTGTTAATTGTGTTGTGTCCCAGCGTTTTATGCGGTGCCAGCCACGATACAAACAAATAAAATCCTGAGGCTTTTCCCCTCCTGCCTACCCGGTCTTTGGTGTGGTCAGTTTTTGTTGTCGTTGGTTTTGTTTGGGTTTTTTCGGAAGCAAACATATTTGCCCCTCAGATTTTTCCACTTCTTTGTACATTCCCTCATGTTCGTTCCGATAGATTCAGCAAAGCTCCCTGCCGCAATTTGCTGACTTCTGTGAGTCCTCAAATTGAGGCTATGGTTATGATTCCCCATATTTAGGTGATAATTGTTATTCTCTCACTGATGCATTCAAAAACTGGTACTGATCAGGCCAATCACAATAGCTGCAGACTGCATTTATGTGCCATGTAGTTACATTTCCAGGTGCACATAAGGTTACAGGAGACGTTTGTGGCGCCATCAACAATAAGAGTCCAAGGACGTGTTGTAATAAAAAGCAAATGAAAGTAGAGAATAATAATTTGAAAGCATGCAAGGCAGTATGAATCAAAAAAAAAAGTTAGATTTGTTATTTAGTTAAAAACTTTGTTTCAGAAGGTTCTGAAAGGTGTAATAAAATAAGCATGATGCTGTGTTATGTAAACATTCAAGAAGTGCATCTTCTTGAGATCAATTTTATTTTTTTTATTTTTTTAAACTTTATTGCACACTTGAGCTTTCAACTTTGGTCATTAGTGCTGCTAGGTGCATTTTTTCCCCAACTTTTACCGGCACTTGCTTCTTCCACAGTTTGCTGATACAGGTATCGCAATGCCCACAAAAACCCGCCTCCTCTCAGTCAGACTCATGCACTGCAGCTGAATAATACAGGCTTATTTTTATTTTTTAATACAAGTCAGACATCTTATGCCCTCAGTGTTGCGGCGACTTGTCCGCCCCTGGTATTGAAAAAAATGTGGAATAATTATATTTTCTAAGGCATTCAAAGTTATGAATTCCAGTGTAATGGAAGGAATTTCCCCACTTTTGGGATTATTAGAGTATATCTTAAACGAATCAGGGTTTTTTTTTTTTTTTTTATATATAAGAAGAATGTCTTTCTCCTCCTCTGAGTTCATCTTGTCATTGTTGAAGCTGTTAGTAAAATAATCAGAGCAAATGAAAAAACATATGTGCTGCTTTGTAGCTTATGTGATCATTCTGACCTTCTAAAGATAGGCCACTAAGTTAGGATAAGCCAGCTTTTGGGATCAACATAATCTACTCCATTCTACTCATTTTGCTCAAATACAGGAGCTCATTATTGAACTATCCGAAACCTTCATAAATGTCTCATATGAAGGCAAGACTGTATGAAACGCACAAAAAAAATCAGCTTGGAAGTCTTAGTTTAGTCTTAGATGGGTAGCACACAGGCTGTTTGCATTCCCTGTTCTACTTATCATGCCCAAACACACTGACAAAGAAACTTTATGAATAGTTGGGTCCACTCTTGGTACGAGTCAGTGGAACAGTTACAGTGTAGGGACAGGAAATGGATGGAGGTAAAGAGGTCTGCACAAGTATGGTAATGCAAGTGTGTGCGTATGTGTGTATTCTGAGTGAGTGAGAGGTTGATTGAGGAGGCGACACTGGCATTGTGTCCCTCTTCCAATGATGCTCAAGTGTGTAAGAGGTGGTTTAAGAGTGCCAGGGAGATAGTGAGAGTGTGTGAATGGGTTATGAATAGCTGTTACACATTGGCTTGTATTGCTCTGTTTGCTAACCTTTGAACTGCACCCCCCCCCCTTTCATTTCAGCGTATTCTGGGATTTGTATTGTGCAGCTCCAGACCGAAGAGAGACGTGTGAACACTCCAGTGAGGCAAAGGCCTTCCACGACTATGTAAGTGACAGACTGGCTTTTCTAACACTTAAAAGGAAACAATTAACAATTACTGTTAATCTTTTGTTGTTGTTTTTTTGCCTGTTCTTTTATGTATGTCTGCCAAGACAAACACTATATTTCAGTCACAAGTTCAAGTTTCTAGAGGAGTGTTAAAGTGGAAAACGGGGGATATATATATATATATATTAGTGAAAAAATGTCTTTTTTTAAGATTAATTGGACTGAAAATATTATAATTAAGTATAATGAAAATGTTTCTCGAACAACGGCGAATACTGGCTGACTAGATTAAAAAGAAGAAAAAAACGTGGTCCATATGAGACACTTCTGCTAACCAGAAGTAAAGTTCTAACTAACGGTCGTTTAACAATTCATTGATACATTCTTTTCTTGATTAGTTGATGTTTGGCCTATAAAGTACAAGGACATGGGGAATGTCTGTCCTTATGTTTAAGGTGGAAATCCTCAAATTCCTTTTGTCTGATCTAACACACAAACATTCTGATCATTTCAAAGGCTGAAACTTTTCAATATTTGTCCTTTGGCTTCAAGAACAACTTAAAGATCCACTCACACAAATTGTAAAAAAGTTTAATTGAAAATGCTTTTTCCCCCTATGTTCTGTCTTGTGTGTGTATGTATACCGTTACAGTGCTAGATACTCATTTAAAGTATTTCAGAGACTTCTTCAAACTTCAAAATTGTTCCTGACTAGTTTCACATGTCGGTTACAGTTGATGTTCTTAAAATGGTCATGTCAACAACCCCAACCATGTGCTGTGTAGACCTGTTTACAAGAGGCAGGCATTTTAGACTAAAGTTAGCTGAAAGCGAGAAGGAAAGGTAGCTGCAAAAAGGCACCAGTGTAAGACAAAGGTTATTTTAAACTGAATCATACAAACCAATTTCAGTAGAGCTCAAGAATAAAACCGTGGAGCCAGAAATAAGTTTATAGGTCTCCTTTTAACTGCTTAAAGCCATGTAATTAAAATAAAACGAATAAAAAAATGCAGTGTTCAACTCAGAAGTCGTCAAGAAGATCAATTTATGTGCACCAGGCTTCTTGAGTTTTGCTGTCACACATGCTGAATGGCATGCATGGACATGTGTTAGACCTAAGTATGATTGAGCAGGGAACATTTCCATACCAAACCTATGGTTCCTCATTTCTTAAGGTGCATCAATAATTGACAGAAAAGGAAGAAACTTCAGAGGAGCAGAAAAATAAAAACAATTTGAGAAACAGCAAGAGGAAAAAACTGAGGGAATATTATGGAAATTCAAAGGGTCTCATTCTGTGGTGTTGCTGATTGAACGATGAAACTGAAAATGACATTATGTAGGTAGATTGCAAGTCGGTGTTTCTCTTTGTTACAATGTATAATGTTGTTACAATGCACCACTTGAAACGACACCACACAGTGTAATATCCTTGCAGTGCCATGAAAACCCTGTTTCTAAAAGTGTGTTCTTGTTACCAACTTATATTAATCATGTCTTTAGCTTTACTTAACATAGAATCGCAATTCAGCAACACACTTTTTTTTAAAATTGTTTTTCTGAACTTCATAGTTCAGAAAATGGCTTAAATTATTTTCAAAGGTCGGGGTCAGCTGTGGTTTCCATAGTTTGTAAGGATTCAGTGTCTCATTTGAAATCAGTTCATTTGGATGGCCTCCTAATTGTTATTCCTGATTTTCCATCTTGCTGAGGAATCCCTCAAACAACAACTCCAGATTTCTGCAGCAATAATGCAAAGTGTTGTTTTTATTCCAGCATGAGGAGAAACTGTAACTCTGTTGTCATGTCTGTAAAAGTCATCTGCTCTGATTGACACTGTGTCTGTCTTCGGCGTGTCCGCTTTGGCCAAGACAGTGTGGCATTGTGTGTGCGTGTTTTTGTGTGTGTGTGTGTGTGTGTGTGTGTGTGCATGCGCTGTATAGTGTGAGGAGATAATGGAATAGAGTTCTAATCCGGTAATCCCAGCACTGGGCCGAGGCTAAGCCAGGGATTTGTGTGTGTATGTGTGAGTGTGTATGTGTGTGTTTGGATGGGTGGGGGGCATCTTTGGGAGCCAGCCCATAATAGGAGGGTGGATGGGCTCATACCCTCCTTCCAGTTAACCCTGTGTATAAATGTAGATGGGTGAACTGCATGTCTGCTCCTAGCAGCGATAAAGCAAAGGAGATGGGACTGGTTTAATTTTGGCTCTTGTCCCCCGAGGCTGGTCTCTGAGCACAGGTCCTTTTCTACTGGTTTCAAAAGAACGAGCCAGTTAGAGGCACCGAAGAAAAAGGCATTTCACCTTACGTTAAAACAGTTTCTTACTCTTTTGAGGATTGCAGGAGTGCACGCCAGCGTTTAGGGAACATTATTACAGTTCTGTCCGCTGGGTGCAGAGACACAAATGAGGTCTGGCTAGTTTTTGGATGCGGGTTATAAAAGTACTACAGGGGTTATAATATAGTTGATTTGTTTGTGTATTTTTTTTTTCCAATAGAAAACTACCTGTAATATTCATAGATCTCTTTGTATAGGTTTTTAATTCATGCTTAAATAGCTTTATAAATTTCAAACACATCTTTAAAGTGATGTGAAGTGCAGTAAACATGAGGAAAAACAGAAGCCAAGGCAAACACCATGTATATGTATGTATAATTTAATCAGGGCTTGTCAATAAGACCAAGACCAGGGATTCTTGTCATGGGCTGTGTTGTATTACTTGGTAATCTTCTATTAAGTGAATTTTTGTCATTCAGCTTTCAGCAACATCTTTTTGCAAGTATTTGCTTACTGGGTAATTTAGCACTGCTAGCTTGATCACTTATGTTAATGAGTGATAGTATAAAGTGTTTCATAAATGAGTATTTCTGCTAAATTATTGTGTGTTGTTTTTTTGTTTTTTTTGTTTTTTTAATGGATTTATTTGAATTTATGTTTTGAATGAGCTTGGGGATGTATTCATCTGGGACGAGGGGTCACGAGTGCTCATTGCTCGGCTATAGAGGCCCTTGAGTTTTATTTATTTATTTATTTATTTAATTTTTCTGCTTTTAAAGCTTCTTCAGGAAGCTCTTCTGCCATTTTCTGTTACCTTCTCAAACTCCTTCCCCGTCTTCTTCTCATACACTCTGCAGCTCTGTCCTATTCACGTCATATTTTTGCAGCGTTGAGTACCTCTGTAACACCCCCACATCCGCATCTGTCTTCTGTCCCCATTCATTCCAAAAACTTTTTTTAACCTCTCTTCCTTGTTAACTCTACCTCTTACTCTTTCTTAGATCTAACAAACCAGCCCACCCCCTCTCCTCTCACTTCGCTTATCACTCGCTCTGTCTGAGTCTCCTTCTCTTGTTGCACCCACCACCCCCACCCCTACAACCCCTTTTCTCAAGACAAGATTGATTGGCTAATCTAGCTGTTTACCCACAATGCCTACTAGCACTGAAGAGAAGAGGGCAGTGTTGATAGTATAAAGACACAACCGAGAGACAATTGAGGTATTTGAAAATGGAGTTCAGTGAACATACCAAATGGATAGAGAAGGAAATTAAAGATAGCTGCTTTTGTTATTATTTTAAATAGAGCAACTGTAATTTCCAACTATGTGTAAATCAATAACACTATAAAAAAAAAAAACTACAGGAAATTTGAAAACAGCATCTATTTAAAGTTATAGTATATCTGTACTGGTGTGTGTTTTGGTGCTTTTCAGCACTTTCTGATGCCTTGGAGGACAGTAGCAGCGTAATAATATTTGTACCATTTCCTTTAATGCCATAAAGTGTTTAAACCTAATGAAGCATTAGTGACAGAAAGCCGCTCTTTGTTATACAGTAATTTCTCCTGAAAAAAATCCATTAAAACCAGCTGACATTATGCAGCATATTAAACAACCTGCAATATGTTTTCACTGTGAATAGTTTAAGGAGAAAGCCTCTTAGATGCAATTGAATAAAAAACCCAAACTATTCTGCCAAATTGCTGCCTGCTGTGTAACTGCTGCTTTCTTCCTCTTTTGACCACATTAAACAGAAATCTCTCTAAATTCCTGAAATTTCATATAAGTCGCATTACCACAGTGATTTTTTAAAAAAATGTCTATAATCCTGTTAAAACAGTATTTGTATGTATGTACAAATTCCTCTATTAAAAGCAAAGAGACATAAAACACAAGCATGTTTTATTTCAATCTATATTTTTGTCACTGGCTGACTCCAGATCAGCTAAATGGAGAACTTTATGCTTTTTGCATTGCAGAATAAAGTATGTAAGATGAGAAAGAAGTGGTTTTTTTATATATATATATATATATATATTATATATATAATAGTATATAATAAGTTATTTATTACTGTATTACTTAGAATACTAGTAATAATACTAAAACATCCATAATAATTTCAGTTCTTCCTTCTCCTTGATTTGAATCTATACTGTTATTCACTGCTGTTCTCATTCCACCCATAGTCTTGTCTTTTGGACGCTCTGCCATCTCTCTGGAGCGTTGGCTAAGTGGATGTTGTGTCTGCAGCATGTATTAGTGCTGTCATCCGGTGTGTGCGCACAAGTCCGCCTGTCTGGTTCAGTACTGCTACCTTGGCAGCAGCGTTTGGGGAAGTGCGTGTGTGTTTAGCGTGCACGTTGTGCCAGTTTTGAGGACCAGCTGGGTTTTCAGAGACTGTGTGTGTGCACGCGTGTTTGTCAGACGTGACGGTGAGAGGAGCAGCCATATCCTGTTGCTCCAGAGTGAAACATACTGTTTGGTCTGGGCAAATTAGCCAGATCACCACAGTCAGCTATTTTTTTCCCCCTCCCATCTCCATATACTCTGTCTCGCATCCTCACTCCTTTGCCTTTCTACCCCCCCCCCTCCCCCCCCCTTCTCTCCCTTACTCTGTTCGCTAAGGACAGCAGGTCAAGGAGACAGTGATGAGGTACATATCAGTGTGAACCAGAATGTAGATTAGTACCTCTCCAGGCAGGGACACACATAA